AATGGTGTTTTTTTTTAATTAATTTTTAATCTAACCCTTCATGTTTTCAATCCTGTGTTTAATGGTGTTTTTTTTTATTAATTTTTAATCTCACCCTCCATGCTATCAATCCTGTGTTTAATGGTAATTTTGTTTTATTAATTTTTAATCTTACCTTTCATGCTATCAATTACTCTTCATGCTATCAATCCTGTGTTTAATGGTACTTTTGTTTTATTAATTTTTAATCTTACCAGTCATGCTATCAATTACTCTTCATGCTATCAATCCTGTGTTTAATGGTAGTTTTGTTTTATTAATTTTTAATCTTACCCTTCATGCTATCAATTACTCTTCATGCTATCAATCCTGTGTTTAATGGTACTTTTGTTTTATTAACTTTTAATCTTACCATTCATGCTATCAATCCTTTGGTTAATGGTGGTTTTGTTTTATTAACTTTTAATCTTACCATTCATGCTATCAATCCTGTTTTAAATAATTGATAGCATGAAGGGTAAGATTAAAAATTAATAAAACAAAACTACCAACAGGATTGATAGCATGAATGGTAAGATTAAAAGTTAATAAAACAAAACCACCATTAACCAAAGGATTGATAGCATGAATGGTAAGATTAAAAGTTAATAAAACAAAAGTACCATTAAACACAGGATTGATAGCATGAAGAGTGTTTAATGGTAATTTTTGTTTTATTAATTTAAAATCTTACCCTTCATGCTAGCAATCCTGTGTTTAATAATATGTTTTTTAAATTACTTTTTAATTTTATCCTTCATGTTATCAATCCTGTGTTTAATGGTGTTTTTTTATGAATTTTTATTCTTGCCCTTCATGCTATCAATCCTGTGATTAATGGTGGATTTTTTAAATTAAAATAACTATTCTCTAGTAGTTATACCTCATTAAGGAGCTCTTTAATAATATTCAGAATTTTTCTATTATGACTGGTTAACTTCCCGCTATTTTTACTACTTTATGACTGGTTAACTTCTCTTATTTTTGTCACACGTTTCGCGCGACTGGGGAACTTTATGGCGCTATGGCATAACTTTAATTTTATTTGTTTGTAGTTAAGAGCAAATCTGCACAAGAGCTATCTGTGCTGTATCCATAACGGGTATCGAAACCCAGATTTTAGCGTTGTGAGCTTTCAGGCTTACCGCTGAACGATTGGGGGGATGCATCGCGAAGTTTTATTACGTTTTCTTCAACCTACGTAAACGAGAAATGGTTAGCTCTCTTGTTACCATTGTTAGCTCTCTCGTTACTTGCTGCTAACACATTTATTTAAATCTAAAATAATGTTAGATTTCCTCCACCATGTTTTTTGTACATTTTTTTTCTTTCTTACTTTTCATGTTTCATGAGGTAGTTTGAGTGGTTAACTAGGGATATCTACTGAGTGAGCTCTTTGGCTTAGCTTGTAAAGCATTTGCCCGGACTGTAAGATGTCTCGAGTTTAGTCCTGTTTGCAGAAGACACGCAAACTGGACTACCACAGAAATACCAGTAAACTAAGTCGCGTGTCTATAAGAGAAAGTAGTTTTCTTAATCGTTAAAATGTTTGTTTTTTTTTAGCGAAAGATTTCGAGTCCGTGGAATATTAAATAAAATTCCCACAGAAAAATTAGCGCTCAGCTAGTGGCCGTCACATTCATCTGAGATAGACCTAGTTTGTGAAAGGGGGAAAGCACGTGGTAGGTGAAATGTTAAAAAAATGCTTTACTAACAACTGCTAGTGTTTTAATCTTTTAACTCAACTGATCTATTAGAGATTCCGGGTTCGATGCCGAGCAGAGAGGTAATAAATAAATTGTATTACCACGTGATCTAAAGACTGTACACAGGCAATTTGTTTATCATGATCATTTTAGTCCTAACAGTAAATAAGCCTGGCATGGCTTGGTGGCTATGGCCACTCGGCTCGCAGGTTCGAATTTCCGTCGCCCTTTCAACTGTGGGGGCGTTACTATGTGACGGTCGTTCCCACTATTCGTTGTTAAAAGAATAGCCCTACAGTTGGCGGTGTGTGGTGTTGACTAGCTACCTTCCCTATAGTCTATCACTACCGCCGAACATGTTCATCCTTTTAGATGTGGGGGAGTTATAATGTGACGGTAAATCCCACTATTCGTTAGTAAATTAGTAACTCTAGAGTTGGCGGTCTATCACTACTAAATTAGGGCCGGCTAACGCAGATAGTCTTCTTGTAGCTTGTGCGAATTTCAAACCAAACCAAAGTTTTTATGAAGTGCATTAGATCAGTCGAAGAGTTAACCGAAACAACTCAATACCTGAGGAAAACATGGGTGGTTCAAACGGAAACTGTATGTTTTTTATTTTGTTTTTTGTTTAGTATTTCTAGGGTTTTTGAAATAACTACTTTACTTTACTAAAAAAGAAATACAATAAAAGTAACATCTTTATTGTGGTGGTCGAAATATTTTCAATAAAGTTTAAGTTTTTTATTGTCTCGTTAGTGCCCATGAAACATATGATGATCACTGTTTCCCCTTATGAGAAAGAATTACATTGGTATCATAGTTGTCTTCAAAAAGCTTAAAACAAACTAGCCTAGAATCAAACAAACGACCTTGTCAATAACTGCAACAAAACGGCTTGTCAATAGATAGTATAGGATGTGAAAAGGAGTTTCATCTTCTGAAACATTGTTGAAATAAAGGGAGATTTACAGACGAAGATAACAAAGACAAATGTTATTGTATTATTTTTCTCTGTTAGGTTTCTTCGAAATCCATGTATAAAAAAAAGAACAGAAAATTTTAGCTGGAAACGAGAATAAAATACGTATTGGGGATAAAAATCTGAGAAATAAGATAATGATAGAAAAGGAAAACAAAATGATATTTTGATAAATTGTAGTCAGATTAAACGAAATTAGGTATTTGAAGGAAATGAAGAATCCACAATAGAAATAAAATGCTAATGAATTTGATTTTTATTTTATTTGGTTTCTACATAAATATCCATATTCGGTTAGGAAAATATCGTTAATGGAAAACATTCTATTAATAACCCAAACAAGTTATTTACATTTGAATTATAAATGTAATTATCTTTTCCAAGAAAATATACGTTACAGTGGTTTGTGGTATGAGCAGTTCATGTTAATTTAATATGATTAAAATGGTAGCCATAAATGAAGTTATATTAGCTCGCTATCTTCTTAAGATTCATAGCAGCTCACCAAAAGAAGGTTTTCTATTACATGTATTTCTTAAGGTTTTTCTTTAGTAGAATAACTAGATAATTAACTCAGTGTTTAATAGCTTAGAAATTTACCAATCTTTCTATTCAAGGTATTCACTTAACGTGCAGTCGTATAGGAGCCATTTCGTTTCGCTTTGAAAAACTTGGCATAATACAAACAACCACCATAAATACTGGGAAATTATTTAATTAGTTTAATGCGTGTGTGTTGTGAAAAACTTGGCACAGTATAATATAAACAACCACCACAAATACTGTGAAATTATTTAATTAGTTTAATACGTGTTTGTTGTGAAAAACTTGGCACAGTATAATACATACAACCACCACAAATGCTGTGAAATTATTTAAATAGTTTAATACGTGTGTGTTGTGAAAAACTTGGCACAGTATAATATAAGCAACCACAAATACTGTGAAATTATTTAATTAGTTTAATGTGTATGTGTTGTGAAAAATTTGGCACAGTATAATATAAACAACCACCACAAATACTGTGAAATTATTTAATTAGTTTAATACGTGTGTGTTGTGAAAAACTTGGTATAATACAAACAACGACCATAAAAACTGTGAAATTATTTAATTAGGGTAATACGTGTGTGTTGTGAAAAACTTGGTATAATACAAACAACGACCATAAAAACTGTGAAATTATTTAATTCGTTTAATACGTGTGTGTTGTGAAAAACTTGGCACAGCATAATACAAACAACAACCACAAATGCTGTGAAATTATTTGATTAGTTTAATACGTGTATGTTGTTATAGCTCTCACTCACCAACAAAAAGCAATAATATTTTATGGTGACATTACATATTTCTAAATGTTCCAATATATCTTTCATTGAAAGGCAGTTTGTTTTTTCTAATAGATTATTTCATTGATGGATTAAAATTGTATCGTGATGTCCAAGCAAATTCCTTTTGTGAGAAGTTTAAATGTTGCAACTAAGGATATTTTTATTGAACAACATTTAGGACGCTAAATGATACCAAAATTAGGTTACGTACTGTTTATCAGACCAAATATTCTTACCCTACACATCATTCAAACATGTGGGTTATATATTTAGTTTTCAAGAATAACTGGTAAACATTTTGATAGCTCTTCGATCATCTCTCTGTTTTTGCACACTGTTTCTTTCAACATACATTTTCGTTTTTAAGGATTTTCTTCTTATTTATAACATACATCATGATGTAATATAACTTTAGTTTTTACACTTTTTCTATTCACATTAAGTATTAACATTTCGTTTTTCTAATATTTTTCTCAGCAATGTTATATAGATATATTAGCTTTACTTTTCTACTTTTTTTTTACCCTTCTTGGATATAAACTGTCCAGTTTTTTATTGATTCATGTTGAATGTTAACTTTCCTTCTATACAGGATTCCATTTTTTATTCCTGGTGATTATTAACTTTTCTGCTTTCAGATCCTATTATTTATTCATTTTGGATGTTAACTTTTCATCTACCGGATTCTGTTTTTATTAATCTAAGATATTAATTTTCCTGCTCCAGATCCCATATCTTTATTTACTATGGATACTAACTTTTATGTTGAAAATTAACATTCATGTGCTTATATTATTTTTCAATTTATTTTCAATATTATTTTTTCTATTTTAGCATTATTTTTCCATATAACTCATATCTATTTTTGGAGCTCCATCTTCTTATTGATGCTGTATATTAAATCTTACATTTTCAAACCTTCTTCTTTCCATTCATATTGCACATTAACTTCTCTATTTCTAGTTTCCTCTTCCTTAAAGATCTTGTCCCTCGACGTTCCCCAGACTGTACCACGAGGCCGAGAAGTTCGATTGACTTGTTCTTATGACCTGGAAGGAGAAAAGCTTTATTCTGTCAAATGGTATCGAGACGATATGGAGTTCTTCAGATTTGTACCTCGTGATGAACCTAAGCAACTTTACTTCCCGTTAGAAGGAATCACGGTTGACGTAAGAAAGAGCAATATTTACTTCCTCTGTAGACAATTTCTTAAGAATGCGGTACAAATTAAATAATACGATTAGTTTGAAATTCTTGCTACTAAAGTTGTTAGTGTTAGTTCCACAGCGGCCTCATGACTAGTTGGAAACATGAGGGGTTGTAGGACTTGTTTAACACTCAAATATGGCGTTAGATTCATGCAATGGGGACAGAATATATCAACAAGTTTCCAAATAAAATAGTTTGGTAGATATATGGATACAAACTATGACCTTCGTTTGTGTGTCAAAAGTATAAGAAGAGTGAATACTTGTTGAAATTGAAATAAAAGGAAAAACAGAATATGTAACTAGTGAAAATGTTAGGGAGTCTCTCTGTCTCTTGCCTTTTCAAATTTCTGAAATAGTAATGAGTTATGGGAGTGACAATGAACTGTTTCCTTTTCAAACTGATAAAAATGAAAAAGGACACCTATAATGAAAGAAATATCGGAAAGCTTATTTCTTTTAAATTCGGTCATATCTATACGTTCTAATATCAAAGACGTGTGTTTGTTAATAAAACTCTGGGGGCTAAATCGATTATTTAGTCATTTTAAACGTATATCTTAGTTCTAATGTCCACTGGGTTCTATTATAAAGTGAATTACAAAATTATCGATTTTTATTGACATTCAGATAAGTTGAAAAATGTTTTAAAGACAAAACTTAAAAAAAATACGCGAAACTAATTGAAACGTCGTCATTAGAAGAAATTTGACATCATATCTTCATCATTATCATCAAAATTATTATAATGACAATGATTTTTTTGGGGGTCTTCGAATTACAATTTGAAACTGATATATTACATTAGTTATAGTGTCCAGAAATTTTATTGTAACTAAATGCGAATTTTTTTTTCCTCTGATTTTCATCTTCCCTTAATAATTTCAGTCATTTTTTTTTAAGGAACGAAATGCTTTAAACAGTCCTTTGATGTTCATCTTCCTTTAATAATTTCAGTCATTTCTTTTAAGGAACAAGATGCGTTAAACAGTCCTCTGATTTTCATCTTCCCTTAATAATTTCAGTCATTTTTTTTAAGGAACGAGATGCGTTAAACAGTCCTCTGATTTTCATCTTCCCTTAATAATTTCAGTCATTTTTTTTAA